TTTGGCTACGGTAGTCTATAACTGACATATTGTGCTTCCTTTCTGAGAAAAGAACCATTCCTACACTGTAAACCTGACACTAGTACGGCCATCTTCCTCTGGCTATTTCATAAGTCGAAACTAATATCTCGTAAAAAAATATTCCTCCTGCATTTTATGTCAGTTTTTCAAGGTAGGAAAGCTTTTATATTCTATGGAAAAATGCCATCAGGTAACTGCTGAGGCTGGAACAATATCTTGAATATTACCAAATAGTAAGAAAAATACTCCCTGGTGTTCTTGTTGATTGCGTCATCCCAAGGCCACTAATTTTAGATCACAAATTATTAGTTAAGTGAGATCAGGATAAAGGTGGAGCAGACGGTTAGCATCCGAACGCATTAATACATATCAACCATTGCTCTTTGGGGGATACGGAGTAATATAATCGACGAGGCAACACTTTAATATTTGTATTTTAGTTTATCCTTCAATCATAAATTACTTATTAGTGGGCAGGGTATGAAGGAGAGAAATAACAGGGTTAAAACACTGGGAAGACTAACCATATGACAGTAATCTCATGTTTCTACGTGTTTATTACGATTTTCATTGGATTGAATTCGTTCACTTCTTCTGGAGATGTTGTTTGGATGATAAGAAAATCGAAGTGACAATGCACAGGTGAGGAAGTTAGGTGAGGTTAGGTAGGCGAAGTTAGGTAGGTTAGGTAAAATTTGGCAAGGTTAGGTTAGGTTAGGTTAGGTAAAGTTTGACAAGGTTGGATAAGGTTAAGTCATGTTCTAATATATTCAGTGGATTCCTGTTTCCATTTTCGTGTTCAGTATCATAGAAATAGTATATCTAGAGGTTTTTTTTTCAATGCAATAAGTTATTTCTACTGCTAACCGTGTTCTCCATCTTTACCGAGACTTGATTTTAGTGTCATATGATCAATTTTTTGCCATGTTCTTACCCCACAAGTTCCCTCATCCTTCATGCCCTGCGTAACGATTTTATTAGTTAGTATCATCCAAAGTATAACTGGAAAATATGAACGAAACTTATCAACACGTTCTGATGCTAACCGTCTCCTCCACTTAACCGAGATCACTAATTTTCACTTAAGTCACACAAACATTCATTATATATCTCAAAACAATATCACTTAACACACACAAGATATGATTGATATTATCGATATTTTTACCAGTGCGTTTCAGAAAAATTTGTTTACATCACAGTTGTTGATCTTGACAACACTAAACTTTCTCACCTTTTCACACCGTAGCTTTTATCTTTGATGTTTGTAGCGTTATTATTCCAGCAATGTTATATCTAGTAGATGTGGGAATCAGTTCACGGTGGTAGGTTATGTGGGAGACGGTAAATGGTGTCGTCTGGCCGGCAGTGGTTGGTGACTGGTGGACGATCAAGCCGGGTCAACACTACACTCGTTGTCTCGCTAAATTATTCAATCTTTTACTTATTTTATCATTTCAAGTTTGTTTTACGTTGTATTATATGAAGAAATAATATAAATAAAATAAATACAAATAGATGGGTGAAAGAAATCTATCAGGTGTCATATATCTTTGTAGTAATAAATATTTAATATCTAATAGAAAAATTATGGGCACGAATTTGAAAGAGATAATTTAACAGTTCATAAAACATATTTTTGACGATCAAGTGAAACACACATGATTTGATTTATATCTATAATATTACTAGCAATACTAAAACTAATACTGATATTAATATTGTCAAAACTATAGAAAACTTTTCGTGTTTATATGACGTATACTGTAATTTAGTAAAGACTATGGCAGTATGTTCGTCTTGGCTCACTTGTTAAACCTGACGTAAAACTGGATTGTGAAGAAATTATTTTACGCGTATGTATGATTGTTTACAACAGGACATCAGGGATAGTCCAGGATCAGAAGAGAATAGTGAACAGCTTGTGACAATAGCAATTAGTTTAGTTCTTGATTTATTACAGTTTTTGAAATTGTTGGGTGGAAGTCGATTCGGCGATAATTTTAAGCAACCATGTTTAACAAATACCCAGACGTGGCCGAAGTTCCTCGGTACTTGATAATATCTGATATGTACTGCAGTCAGTCACCAGAGTCCTGTCGCCTCCCTTCCTGAACCACGAACCCCGAGATTCAAACTCATGAATCCAAAGCAGTAGAAACTGATGCACTATTCCATCTTTAAATGCTTCGGGTTCAAGAGTCTGAATCTCCTGGTTCTTGGTTCAGGAGGAAAGGCGACAGGACTCTTGGAGGTGACAGTATACATGTGGGTCATATATGTGATTAATTTATAGCTGTTGAAGTCTTTTTTTTTAATCATAATTTACACCAGATTAGTGAAAACAATCTACTGACAACATGACCGAAACACTATACCGTAACACAAAGACAAATGTAAGTATATATATTATCTATCTTCGTGTAAGGATAAGATACACCATTGAAAAGGATAAAGCTGATCAATACCTCGTTCACTCTTGATTCATCTCGCCTCCTCATCAGTGTTTCAACAAGAACCATCACCTGATCATCGAAAGTTAACTATACTATAAAAAAAGTACAAATAATTAATAAAAAAACAGATAGTGAATGATAGAGAAAAAGGTGAAGGAAATAATAATTAGAGGCATGAGGCAGGTGAAGGGGCAAGGAACACAACCCACCATAGCATCACCACCACCACCACCACCACCAGGTCGACGAACAGACATACACAGTCACTCTACAAAAATACACAAATGGTTTAGGTGTGTAAATATCTTTTTATTTATGTATATTTCGGTTTAGATAACGACTCAGGTAACCGATACGGACCTCACACCTGCTAAACTTATACCCTGTTGTAAGTTACTGCCTTATCTTGTCTACAACATCATTCTCCTTCTACTTATATCTAGAGACTGTATATGTGTTGGTGTTTCTGAGCAAATAAATAAATTATGAACCATTGGAATCTTTGTCTACGTTCTGAACCGTATGACTATCTATATATTTATCTAATTCCATCCTAGTTTTTTTCCTCTTTCCTTTTCCCTTCCCTGCCTTTCCCCCTTCCCTTCCTCTCCCCCTTTCTTTTCCTCTCCCCCTTCTCAATCACTTCCCTGCCATTCCCCCTTCCTCCCTCTCCCACCCACCCCTTCCTCACGTTCCCCATCCTTCCTCCCCTTCCCCCATCCTTCCCTCCCTTCCCCCACCCCATTTCTCCCTCTTCTTTCCCGCCCTCTTCCCCTACTCTTCCTTCCATCCCCCACACCTCCCCTCCCTCCCCTCTCCTGGCTCATCAACAACCCCCAGCCAGCCACAATAACGGGTTATGACGTCATGTTTGCCCTCATTAAATCAGGGTGATGTTAACCACAGTGATTAAGGGACTAGGTGCTCTTATTTATACCCCTTCACCATTATCTACGGCTCAGTTGTATGCTAATGGTGAGGTCCAACACGGGAGGATTTTTCTCGCTGGTTGAGTCTGAGTTTTGGTAAGAGTGTACTCGGGTGTGATGTATATAGCAGTAATGGAGGTATAATACTCGCCCAGGTGTGTTAGTTGCTACACTTGATAACGCTGGCATTTTACTTATTGAGAGGGGAAATTTTTGATAATACTCTCTCTCTCTCTCTCTCTCTCTCTCTCTGTGTGTGTGTAGTGGTTTAGTTCATTCTGCATTAGACACATGTAGTGGTTTAATTGATCTTATTCATATTATTTTGAATTATTCTGTTATTATTTTCGTTTCTCTTTCCTTATCGTCGACCAACTTCGTGTTTATTATAACTTTATCATGTAAATCAAAATGAATCACTTCAAGTCCTACAACACTGCAGATTCTGGTATATATTGTTATGTTAATGTTGTAAGCATATGTTTGTATGTTGTATTATCTCCACTATACTATATGGACGTTGTATTATGTCCACTATACTGTATGGACGTTGTATTATCTCCACTATACTGTATGGACGTTGTATAATATCAGATGTATTGCCCTCCACTCTACTCATTGAGAAATTTATTTGTGACACTAATAAATAATCCTTCTACCTCACTTACCTGTTTGATGATTAACCACGTGTATATTATCTTCTATTGTGGCTAAGTGTATAATGTATAATGACACGTCAATGCATTTCTACAGCATGTCATTCATCATAAAACAGTGTTCTTGTCAGGTCATTATAATTGTTGTTGTTGTTATTATTATTATTATTATTATTATTATTATTATTATTATTATTATTATTATTATTATTATTATTATTATTATTATTATTATTATTATTATAGAAATTTTCTGTTCATTACGACACTATTTATTTAGTTTAAGTAAATTTTAGTAAGTAGATACTCACCTCCTTACACTTTCCCACGAGGTCTACCTTCCCCCTACTGACTGCTATAGGTACTTACCTGACTCCCGCAGTTATGAGTCCTTTATATTGTTCTGTTGAGGCCCAGCCAATGTTGAGTCGTAACTACATTGAATTTCACTTGGACACGTAACAAACTGAGTTGACGTCTCTCCAGTAGGTATGCTTGTCAGGGTAGTGTGGGTAACTCTGGCGACCCACCACACTGGCCCTGAGTCTCCGTCCTCAGCTAAAACCAGGGAACGAATCACCGTGTTCGATTCTTTTCTCTAAACTAATTCACAGTTTAAGGTCTGCTCCGACTTCTCAGTGTTGCTTCTTATAATTAATAGTTATAATACAATGGTAATCTATTTAAAGTTATTTATATAAATTAATTCTTCATAACAGTAATAACCCAAGACCATTATTTAAGGTATATATTTTTACAAGTGATTCATATACTATGCAAATTGTACCGAAAAACATGATTCATTATTATTATTATTATCATTATTATTATTACCACAAAAAACTTTATTTTTATGATAAACATTACGTATAGTAAGTTTGGCAATATAAGAACATAATAAATCTGGAACAACGAGGAATGAAAATAATAAGACCAACTGTATGTATGCATATTTATTGATAATGTTTTTCACTGCACATGCATAAGGCACGAACGCAAGCACAGCAACTAAGGGAAACTTGGACCGTAAATGATAACACAAAAAAAAATATGGTTCAAGTAGAATAAACAAATTAGATATAACTACTTTCTATAATTGTTTAGTCTAATTTTTACATAACTGATTCTAGAATACTGGGTCGGTACAGGGAGCGGGGGAGAGAAATGAAAAGTTTATTTACTCTAGATAAATGATAGACACAGAAACTACATAATATTTTAAAACTTTTTTTTTATATTCATTTTAAAATCTTAGATGTTCCTAATGATAGAATTTATTAAGCATTTAGTACTACATCAGTAAGGCTTCTTGTATTGAACATTTAATCAACAAGAGTCATCGTTTATCTCACAAATAGTTATTCTCCTAGGAAAAAAAATGTACATCACCTTCTAAATGTGAACTAAGAGGGTAAACATCATCGTCTTCATAATAACAGATAATACTGGGGGAAAAAACTCAAGACACATGACAGTCGTAAGTTTGAACGTCAAGAATCAAGGTTTTTATTTGGTTCCTATCTAGCAGAGGTGTTGTGACGCCCCGGGGACTTGATAAGATGACTGATCTTAACAACATAACATTATCTTGGTGAGGCTGCTGGGTTGGTAGACACTCTTGCCCTCTCCACATACACTTACCACATACTCAGACCATACACTTACTACACACTTGCCACATTTACCACACATACTCATCACATACACACTTACAGGGCACTTAGCATATACACGTTTATCACATATTTACCATATATTTACCACACACTCACTACACATACACTTTACCACATACTCAAAACATACACTTCCTACACTATCAAAATATATACTTACCACACACTCACCACACATACACTTACCACACACTCACCACACATATACTTACCACACACACTCACCACACACACACTCACCACACACACTCACTACACACACTCACCACACACACTTTAATGCACACAGGGAGTGACAGAACAGTGTGTTATAATAGACTTTTTCTGTTTGGCTGCACTACATGTTATCCATCAATGTTTGTTTACTCTTGAGTGTGTTGGTTGATGGTTAACAAGGCGAGGGGCTGAGTACCTCATGTGAGTGTGTGTGTGGTGAGTACTTTATGTGAGTGTGAGTGTTTCATGTGAGTATGTGATGAGAGCATCTTGAGTGTGTAATGAGTGTGCCGAATGTGTCAAGACTGCATCATGAGTAATGTGGTGAGTGTATCACGCGTGCACGATGAGTGTGTTATGAGTGTATGGTTACTGCGTCATGAGTGTGTGGAGAAGGTGAGTGACGCCATAACATTTCACCTAATACCTCTAGTACAAAACAACAACTCACACTTATATACACGGGTCTCACAGCTTATGTACACGGGGCCCTCAGAAGGCCAGTGTTCATTACAATGAAGAAGTCAAACAAGAGACTGGGATGTACAGTACATGACAAGCAGAGCTACCTAGGTCACATAGCACTATATAATTATATATGTATGTATAAAGATATCTTGGCGTTAAAATAAAGCAAAAGAATGTGTCTCGCTCACCAGCGTCATGTGAGACTAGTCGACTTGTGGAGTGAATCAGTGGCACTGACTCGAGCACTACTTGGTATGTGGACGGCAGAGAATAAGGCCTCGTGGGCACTGGTAGGATACACATCACCTTATGACAACAAAATACTATCAACTTGTATCTATTAGTCTTATTTGGACAAGAAAATAATTCAACCACTATTATTTGATACAAATAATCAGCTGTCTTACTCACTCCCTCACCATTACTACCGCCATCCTCCGGGAGAACTTGACAACATGGAAAACTTTCACCCAAGACTAAATTAGAAGATCCATCCGTGGAAGTAGTACCAGAGTGTCTCCTGGAGACTGGACGGAGCCTCTGCAGGAGGCCACAAGGACGTAGGTTTGAGCAGACGCTGTGTGAGGCCGACTCTGGCGTCCTCCTCGAGGTGAGGGACCGAGCCTCATACGCCCTCACTGATGCTTCTTGAGTCTCACTTCAGGAATAACTCGCTCCTCAGATTTCAAAATAATCACAGTTTGACAACAAAATACCTCCCGTTACTTTAAGAAACTTACTAAGCGTCGGTGTATCTAGAATATCACTCCCAACTCACTCATTACGCTAATAAATGCAAACAAAGAATTTAATATTATTCACAAATTTCTAAACCCATCTTGGGAGTTTTTCATTCCTGTGATCCAGAACAAAAGAAACATCTACAGGATCCTTCCATCAATACCTAGTTTGGGTAAGTTCTTGTTGATTTTTCTACAGTAAATAGCTACAAGGCTCTCGATACAGTGAAGATTGGTTGTACTACAGTGTCTCCTGCAGTGATGAAGTTGTTTGTCCTGAAGCCTCCCCATGGTGAGCCTTTCCTGTTAGGGTGAAATAACGTCCTCGTGTTACTGGTGAGATATAATGTTTTGTCTAAGATGTTGATAAAGACCTACAATAAGACTCCTCTCATAAAAATCTCAAGTGTTGAGTACTTAAAACACAACAAATCCCTCCAATGTTGTAAGTTCACGACACAACAAGTCCTTCGATGGGCATGAGTCGACAACACTGCCACATTCCTCAAACAACATTACTTTATTATAATGGTGATATAGTATAAGTTTTATGTATATAGAATTTAATATACTGTATAGGCTTACAATAAAAAAGAAACAAGGTAACTAAAGTAGATATATCCATTAAATATTTACCAACAAACACGACCGGTCTAGACTTACCATAACCTCTCCTTCAAGTGGTCTCCCTGCGCCGATCTCCTTGATCTCGTTTGACCCAAAGGGCGCGGGTCACAGCCTGACGTGACCCGCGCCCTGGATCAAACGCCCACCACACATACACACACACGCCCACATCCGTCTCACGCCCGCATTGCTCTTCTCTCTTGCTTAGCAGCGAGTGATTTGTGTCTCTCTTGCATAATGTTGTTGTGGTAATGCAGAAGAGGAAGATAAAGTAGAAGAAAAAGGAGAAAAGGCAATATAGGAAGACACGGAGTTAGTAGAAGGAGAATAATGATGAAAAATCGTAAATTACTAACGATGAAATATCCAAAGAGAAGAATGACTGATAAAGTATAACGTGTTGAGGAAGCAACAGATACCGTGGCTGGTGACCAAGACTCACACCACGACACCACATGAATGAACACGTGAAAGAGATGACTGTACACACACACACACAAGGGGGGAGAAAAGAGAGGCTTATAAGAATCCATTGATATCTTGATTTTGAGCGACAAGTCTTTGGATAATATAGAGTTACATGGTTTAGATACTAAACATGTGATGGTTCGTGTACATAAACAATAATAAGGTACAACGTGTTAAGGAATTTGATCGTTGAGTTTTATGCCATCACCGCCTTTGTTCACTCCTTGAGGAAATATTTTGTTCAATTTTTCAGTCGATGTTATTGATCACTGGGAGAGGGACTGATAATATACAGTATATGGTGATCCACCGTGCTAAATAAATACAAAACTTAATTCTGTGTATGAAACATCGTCTGGGGTGTTTACCGGAGATGATACAAGTCATCTCCACAATGTGTTTCTTTCACCACTGTACAGGTAACGAGTTCCACCCTGAGGAGCCTCCAGGACTCGTATGTTATACTCTGTTCAAGCCAAACTCTTACATATCCTTCCAAGATACATTATTTAACATTATCCTAAATTAATTATATTTACAGAACTGTCGTACGTGAAGCTTTGCACACGCGCGCGCGCTTTAGATTCCTCGTTGTTGTTGTTACTGTTTTTTTTTTTTTTAGAATCAAGGCCAAGATGAGCACCGAGCCTGAGGGCGAACTCGTGACTCGTGGAGCTCTTCAGTCTCTGGCAGGAACAGCCAATCAAAACCCCCCATTAGTTTAACTTTTGGTTTCAGTTGGGTGTTGCACTCCCTTCTCCGCCAAACTAACCTGTAAAGAAGAGAGAGACGCCTGAGGTGTTGGTGGTGGTCACAAGAGGAACAATACAACACCGGGAGAAGGTTCAAGGACTTGACCTCATACTTATTATCTTAATCATGTTTAATAATACATCACAAATATAGAACAATATCTCACCTGATATATGTATGAAATTTTACCAAAATAAAGTGTCTATAAAGATTAACAGAGAGAAATAGAGAGGACTCAAGAAATTTCAACGCAGAGTAAATATTAACCCAATATTTGTGTGACGTTAGATATGAGAACCTGATAACACCTTCACACAACAACAGGAACACTAAGGAGTTATGAGGAAGAACACACTGGTGAAACATGCACACCAATAATTGTAAAAAGCTGAGACTCGCCGACAGTTGACACAGTGAACCTAAGGTACTCACCTAAGGGTAGTTGGATCAGTACCAGGAGTAGACGGGCGTGGGGAAGTGCTGCGTGGGCGTGCGAGCGTGGTGAGCAAGTCCATGGGTGAAAGAGGATGGCGTGAGGGTGGCGGCGGCGGTGGGTGGCGTGCCGCCCGCGCCGCCCATAGCCCCTCGTAGCTGGTTGGAGGCCCAGGAGGCGGGAGCGGCGGAGGTGAGGGGGGAAGCGACCCCTGTGGCTGCCCCGCCGGTCCCCTGACTCGCACACATCCCCCCATGGGTCTGGTGGGCGACACACAACTAAGGTCAGAGTTGATGAACACGAGTAACTACAGAGGCTGCTACTCCTAGTACAGTTGTTAACTAACTATAAACTACTTCAACCACATACAGTAACTTACATTCGCACGAAGCAAAGTCATGAAAAGTGCAGCAATATTTTTCAAAAACAAATTGTAAAATTTAAAGTTGGCATCAGAGGCCCACGTCCAGAGAAACACTTTGACACATTATTATTATTATTATTATCATTATTATTATTATTATTATTACTCACACGAGGTACAGTAGTGATTGTACTCCTGTTCAACGAAATATTAATATAAAAAATTTATTAGCGTAACTCACCTGGGAGGAGATGAAGGCGGAATTCGTGCAGGAGGAGAGTGCGGCGCTCATGGACGGGTAGGAGGAGGCCGCAGCTGCCGCTGCGGCGGCGCTCATGTTGGCCGCACGCGCCTCGGAGGCCAGCGAACCCTGGTGAAGAGCACCAGACCCTCCCTGGTACAACCCAGATGTGTCTGTTGGGGGTAGAAAGGTGATGGTTAATGCTGCGGGCGTGTCAGGAATGATGGTAATGCTACTGGCATGTCGGGGGATGATGACCAATGCTCCCAAACAAGAGGAAGCCTTAAGAATCAGTTGACTTTCAGTCTCCATATACCAGAGTTTATTAAAAGAATCATTTATGTAGGTTAAAGAATTCAGTAACGCAATATACTGTCACAAAGATGAGAACACGTGTCTACATTGCGTATATAAGCACTAACAACCGCCTCTCAGCTCACCAACACTGAGATGAGGGATGCACTGACCCTGTGCTTGGGGTGAGAAGGTGGAGCCCGGATCAGTGAAGCCCTGGAACATGTAGGAGGAAGGGGCTGAGTGGTAGGACATCGGTAGACCCATAGCATTGAAGTTACTCATGCTTCCTGATGCCATTTGCTTCCTCAGCCGCGCCCGACGGTTACTGAACCACACCTGAAGGAGAGAGAGGAGACAAGGAGTGATGTGAGTCCTTGACGGGGGAGGTAAGGAAGAATCACTAGGAGGGGTAATAGGATACAGGATGCTTATTATTCCTGAAAGAGGAAATGGAAAGGTGAAGAATGAGGGACTTTGAAGTTCTTGAAGAAGGTTTTGTGAACATGTAGAAGAAAAGATAAAAAAAAGCCAGAAGTGAGTGAGTGGACTATACCCCTCAGGATGGCAGTGAGTGATCGATGAAACACGTCAACATGAACCGTGTAGTCAATCGTGTGCCTCGTGAGGTGGGGTTTTATGAGCCGTGTGATGCAAAACAATAATAGAGAAGGAAGAAGCAGAAACTCAATGAGGAAAAGGAGGGAGTAAATAATAATATAAGGAAAGAGGAAGACAAAAGACGGAGAAACAGGAGTGTAGGGGAAAGTTAAAGTCAACAAAACAATAATGGAGGAAGTACATAAACAAACAACAATATATTTACATCAACATCCTAACCCTCGTTCCTCAGCGGGCCACATGACACGGAACAAGGTGATTCTGGCCGGTAAATTACCTTCACTGAGGAACCGATGCCTCTTCCTTGTATCGTGGACTTGATAGGCTCACCTGCGTCCACGTTTTAAGCTCATCTCATTCTTGGTTTAATTAGCTCACCTATATCTAGATTTAATAACCCCACCTGTCTTAATGAGCTTACTTGTATCCATGTCTCATTAAGCTCACCTGTATTCTGGCCTCAGTAAGCTTGGTCCTCTGGGCGAGTTCCTCCCTAGTGTAGATGTCTGGGTACTGTGTCCTCTCAAAGGCCTTCTCCAGCTCGTCCAACTGGTGGGCGGTGAAGGTGGTCCTCGAACGACGTTGTTTCCGCTTGAGCATCATCTGGGGGTCGTCCTCGTCCTCAGAACCATCATCCAAGTCTGAGCCTGACCCTGAACTTGCGTGCTTCGAGGCTGTCAAGGAGAGAGAGACAAGAACATCACTTTATTGTATCATAGAAAAACTCTTTGATTCTTCTTCTGGGTTGATGTGATTGGTAAGTTAGTGATGACGTATGGACATGTGATTGGTAGGTTAGTGATGACGTATGGACATGTGATTGGTAAGCTAGTGATGACGTATGGACATGTGATTGGTAAGTTAGTGATGACGTATGGACATGTGATTGGTAGGTTAGTGATGACGTATGGACATGTGATTGGTAAGCTAATGATGACGTATGGACATGTGATTGGTAAGCTAGTGATGACGTATGGACATGTGATTGGTAAGTTAGTTGATGACGTATGGACATGTGATTGGTAAGTTAGTGATGACGTATGAACTTAAGAGTTACACAGGGAAAAGATATAATTTATTAACCAGTATTATAGCAATTGTCTGTCTGTCTCTCTGTCTGTCTGTTTACGTTATAGATTATACCTTATATATGATACTTATGTTATATGACTTCCTATAGATGAGTTTGATATAATTTTTTGGTAATACATGATTATAACTCAGTACAGCATTATGTAGGAGAGTGGTGATGTCAGCTGCTGTAGTGAGTGGTGATGTCAGCTGGTGTAGTGAGTGGTGATGTCAGCTGCTGTAGTGAGTGGTGATGTCAGCTGCTGTAGTGAGTGGTGATGTCAGCTGCTGTAGTGAGTGGTGATGTCAGCTGCTGTAGTGAGTGGTGATGTCAGCTGCTGTAGTGAGTGGTGATTTCAGCTTCTGTAGTGAGTGGTGATGTCAGCTGCTGTAGTGAGTGGTGATGTCAGCTGCTGTAGTGAGTGGTGATTTCAGCTTCTGTAGTGAGTGGTGATGTCAGCTGGTGTAGTGAGTGGTGATGTTAGCTGCTGTAGTGAGTGGTGATGTCAGCTGGTGTAGTGAGTGGTGATGTCAGCTGGTGTAGTGAGTGGTGATGTCAGCTGGTGTAGTGAGTGGTGATGTCAGCTGCTGTAGTGAGTGGTGATGTCAGCTGCTGTAGTGAGTGGTGATGTCAGCTGCTGTAGTGAGGGGTGATGTCAGCTGCTGTAGTGAGTGGTGTTGGTGTACTGTGTGTGTGTTAGAATTAAAAAAAAGTATTACGTCTTATATTTCTTAAGTAAGGAAGTGTGTGTACCCGTGTGTGTGTGTGTATAAGCGTTCATGTATGTATACCGTATATATGTGTGTATATGTTCGCGTGTATGTGTATGTATTCGTGTATGCATTCGCGCGTGTGTGTGTGTGTGTGTGTGTGTGTGTGTGTGTGTGTGTGTGTGTATATGTGTTCCTTTTATCCACAGGTACAGGTAAGGCAAAAGCGTGATCACTCTATTGATCAAGAGATAAACTGATTCTAATAGTGAAGATCTTACACCCGGAGGAGCCACGTCGATATTTCGTGTTTTCTTATAATTTATTTACAAGATCAACATCGAACTGGTGAATAATTTTCCTTTATGGTGAAGTTGTCCTAAGAATGTTTATTAAAGGTTTGAGATGATGGAACTGTGTATGTCATGAGAAGCTTAAGAGTGTATACTGGAACACACTCTCTCTCTCTCACACACTCTCTCACACACACACTCTAGGTACAGAAACACACTCCTCATTCACACACTCAGGGTACATAAAAACACTCCTCATTCACACACTCTCTCACTCACTCACACGCTCTCATTCACACACTCTCTCACACACACACTCAAGGTACAGAAACACACTCCTCATTCACACACTCTCTCACTCACACACTCAGGGTATATAAAAACACTCCTCATTCACACACTCTCTCACTCACTCACACGCTCTCATTCACACACTCTCTCACACACACACTCAAGGTACAGAAACACACTCCTCATTCACACACTCTCTCACTCACACACTCTCACTCACACACACACACACACACACACACACTCTACATACGGCAACACACTCTTCACACTCTAGCCAGTTGAATACCATCATGATATATACGATACTTTACAGGATAATAATAATACTTCACATGATATCGTACCGTAGTGGATAATATCATGTTAAACAAAAGCCATAGATTACAGAATAATACTTTTCAATAGATATCATGTTTTGCTGGCTATCATGTTTCGCAGTTCTTATATCTTAAAACAGGATATCATACCACACAAACTATCATACTCCATTATCATACTTCACAGGATATATCATGACCAATAATATGTAAATTGTTTCACGTGTATCAGTAAATTCGGTAAATATAACACGTAAATCCGCTTCATCATGCTCGGGACAAACCATGACATGAAATTAACACGAGGGATAAATCGCCTTACAACCGGTTATAATCGCTGGAGGTACACATGGATAATTCTCACACGAATGGTTTAATTGCCACGATATTCTAAACCTCCGGATAATTATCGTTTATCATGTAAAGTTTCTTGAGGTAATTCAAAGTGTTTATCCACTATTATAACCTCTGCTAACTACCACACATCTTTCTTAATTATCATACACCTGAACAAACAACCACATACCAGTCCTAACCACCACATACCTTTTCTAACTACCACATACCTTTCCTAACTACCACATACCTTTTCTAATCACCATAAACTTCACTTAACATTCATATATCATTTCTGACTACCATACAACACCTTTTACTATCCATACAATATTTCTAATTACCATAAAACGTCTGTACCATCACCTGTAAGATAATCCCCAAACAGCAGTGGCCATCATTAACGTCTCTTGTAAAAATAGAAGCTGTGTCTTTAATTTTTTCTCTCTCTTTGTCTCTTCCTTCCCGCCTTCTCTCTCATAGTTATCCCTTCCTCCTTAATTCACCCCCTCCTCCCTCTTCTTCTCCTCTTCCTCCTCCTCTCACCTGACAACACGCATCATGTGAACATCCGCACCATCTCACCGGAGAAATGACAGCTGATAGACGGAATCCTTTTGACGATACCGCACAAATCATGTAGTTAGGGCAGCCGTACGTGGCCTGCAGAACCTTAGGCACCACCAGCAGGCCCGACACGGCACGTTAGAGGGCGTGGCGACGGCGGCATCACGCGATCCACAAGTGTCAGACCAGGGTGAGAAAAACAGCCGGCGTCGGACTGGACATTAAATTGAAATCATCGGGTCCTGTTGGCTAGACTCCCTACCCACCTGACAGCTGGTGTCCCCCCCACACTGGTGATCATCAGTCCTTCCCGTGGCAGAAATGTCTGGCCTGGCGTTGGTCCCTCTACCTAAAATTGGTTAGTGTTATACGCACGCCCCGCCACGCCGTCCTTGCCTCCCTTGTTATGTCGCTCTCTACTTAAAATTGCTGTCGTGGTTATCTTCCATAGCTCTCTGCTGCTGTTGTTTGGATTGATTTAATAACTTTTTGTTGTTTTAATCATATCTGTCTAACGTGAGTGCGCTGATATTGTCTTTTCCATATATACTGTATATTGTATGTTACCAAGATGCGGGAGTGTATCCAGTAGAGCTGTTTACTATCCTCGCTTCAAACTTACAGCGACGTGTCATTTTTTTACCCCGCTGTGGTGAGCAGAGTCTTGTTCACCGAAAAAAAAAAACACTGACCGTCTTGATAATCCTAAACAACTCTGAAGTCATAATAAATGATGAATACCTTTTATAGCGCCGTGAAATAATATGAGTCTAGGACCTTTAAACCTTCGTATAAAAGAGCAAATCTCCTGAAATATTTGTTTACTCTTTAAGGAGATGAAAGATAATCTACCAAGACAGTGTTTTAGGCTACCTGTCACCTGAGTTCCTACCTGGGATACGGAAGCCAGGATTTCACGGTGACACCTTATGATGGATCACGTGTCCATACCGGGAATAACAACGATGTGTTCCCGAAAAAGGAGGAAATTGTCATCCACACCTGAAATACATTATTGTGATGTTCCGTATGTATACCATTATGTAATATGTAAATAGTTTAATCTATAATATTTGTTGAGTTAAGGAAAGAAGTGTGAAAGAGAAAGCCAAAGAGTTTTTAATTTATCTTATTCTGTTTTTAATACGTTTAATTATTATTTGTTTATTCCTTTCTTACCTATGCCCTCTCTCTCTCTCTCTCTCTCTCTCTCTCTCTCTCTCTCTCTCTCTCTCTCTCTCTGTGCAGTTTCCATTACAGTGTTTATCTTTCCGTCCACTGTTGTCCTCACCGTGGCTGCCTAACACCAGGATAACATTTCTTGGATCATATCTGTCTCTGTGCCCGTCTGTCTCCACGTCCTTATTGAAGTGAGGCCGTGAGACAAGTTGGTGACGATGACAGACACTCAGAGACTCATCACCACTACAGGAAGGTCACCAACTGTCTTCACTTATATTGCCAAACAACATTTTATTTAAGTTAGCTTTTAAGTAATTAATTTTAAATCCCTCTAAATAAAAAGTAAATTTATAATATTTTTAACTAATTATCAGAGTAAACATAAGCATTTTTATATTTTAGTACACACATACACACACACACACAGACACACACACACACACACACACACACTCTATCTATCTATCTATCTATCTAGTGAAGACAATAGGAATAAGATCACTACCATTAACAAGACTAAGGTGTATTAGTCACGATTGTGTCCCAGATATTGACGATAAACTGATGCAACAGATTATAGTCGTTATAATGTTCGTCAAATATAACATTTTATTACGGTAATAAGACAGTGTTGTGTAGAAGGCCACCTGCCACTCCCTTCCCTCATGGCCTGGGGCTCACCACACACACACACACACACACACACACACACACACACACACACACACACATACTGCTAACACTGCTAAAGGTCATATGTTGATTAATAAACATATTGCGCTCACTTCTAACATTATCATCTTCGTTGCTGGATTATAGATTTATCTTAGAAATATTAATGCCAAGGTTTGTGTCGCCATAAATGTATTTTTTCTTTGATGGACAATTTTGGGGAAAAGTAAA